GTGTGTGTGTGTGTGTGTGTGTGTGTGTGTGTGTGTGTGTGTGTGTGCGTGTGTGTCTGTGTACAGTGACTGATGGCTGATGAACTGCAGATGAGATTCCTGAGGGTTTAGGTTCCCAGTAGACTTTGCTTCCTGTCCATCCTCCCACCCCCAGTTCAGTGTGGGAAAACGCACACACTTTCATATTTTCAAAGAAGTGAATTACTGTGTGGCACCTGGATTACAGAAGTTCATCATGCTCTTGGATTTACAGGTGCAGCTCACAGAAGTAGAATATTGTGAAATAATTTAAAAAAAAATCTTCATTTCAGAAAGTGAAACTCATTTATTACATAGATTCATTACACACAGAGTGAAATATTTCAAGCCTTTATTTTTTGTAATTTTGATGATTATTTTGATGATTATTACTTACAAATAATGAAAAAACAAAATTCATTGTTTCAGAAAATGAAAATATTCCACAGCCAGCTTTTGGTACCTTTATCAGTGTGGGCAGGAGCCAAGTCCTGCTGGAAAATAAAATCAGTATCTCCATAAAGCTCATCAGCAGAAGGAAGTATGAAGTCTCTAAAATGTCCTGGTAGATGCTGCGTTGACTGTGGACTTCAGAAAACACAGTGGACCAACACCAGCAGAGGACACGGCACCAAACCATCACTGACTGGAAACTTCACTCTGGACTTCAAGCAACGTGGATTCTGGGCCTCTACACTCTTCCTCCAGACTCTGGGACCTCGATTTCCAAATGACATGCGAAATGTACTTTAATCTGAAAAGAGGACGTTGGACCACTGATCAACAATCCAGTTCTTTTTCTCCTCAGTAGGTAAGATGCTTCTGTTTACAGGTCCCTCTTGTAAGAGTCCTTGTGGCTCAATGAGGCTAGCCTGTATAAATAAAGGTTGAATGAATGAATGATGTTGTCTCTTGTTCAGGAGTGGCTTGACTTGAAGAATGCAACATTTGTAGCCCATGTTTTGGAGTTAATTAGATGATTAATAATCATGATTATTGATTAATACTAAACTAATTATTAGTTATAATTCTCTTGAGTCATTGGTCCTCAGTCTTTCTCATCCAAAATGGAAATTGTTGGTTACGTACTGTAGCCCCCGATTCTATGAGTATAGTTGCAGACCTTTAAGGCGATCACTAGTGGGTTTACCCCTCGTGTGCAGCAGCACTGAAAACTTTAAGCCACGCCCACCTGCTGTGTGGGCCCCACTCCGTTTGTATAAATTGCCATGAGACCGGGGATTGGCTCCCCTTTTTTCTTCAGCCAGCAAGTAAGCACATAAGAAAACTAAAGAGCAGAAGCTGTCCAGCAGAGCCTCAGCTCCGACCTGAACGCCATCTGGGCAGGCTACTGCCTCAAAAGAGAACACGCATGTTGAGCCCTGACACCGCAGGCTTCCTGCATGTGCTGCAAGCTTCACCCACGTGAGGATAAACAACACCGGGCGGCCATTTTGCTTCAGGAGAAGAACCTTTCCAGCTTCCAGAAAGCTACCCACTGGACAAGGTTCTCAATTTTTTCGACGGAGGCAGGGTTCAAACATTTCTGCCTCCAGCAAGGAGTCAGTTAAAAGTTTCACTCCCCCCCTCTCAGACAGGAGGGCTGGAGACACAGCTGCCTTCGACAGGTGGACTTCTAGCGTGCTTGTGCATGCTATGCCTGAAATAATTCAGAGAGCGGCGAACACTAAAGACCTGACTGTGCCGGAGCCGCTAGCTCCGATGCCTCTAGACAACTTGGCAGGGAAGTTTGCCGGCCCGCCTACTGGCCACCGAGACCTGATCTGGCCTTGTTCCAGCCACGAGGCTGTACATGTCTGGAGCAGCAGCTGATCATGAAGCTGAGAGCGCTCGTGTCCACCTACGTACCCATCACAAAGGTAGAAGGGGCCCATTGACAAGAGGCCCTCACCTGTCCCTCCACTAGAACCAAGCCTGATTGCTGTTTTTGGGGTCAGAATGTGCCGGCAGGTCGGATGACGGCCTGTGCCCCTGTCCCACAACGATCAGCTCACGGCCAGACTCAATGAGCGAGCGCACCAGTGCACGTCTCAGTCAGCTGCAGTGACCAGCAACATGGCCTTGCTAGTTTTTAGCACTTCTAGAAAACTAAAGAGCTGGAATCCCCCACCAGATATCCAAGAGTGCTGCAATGCTGCAGACACCATTCTGAACCTGTGTGCAGCCCAATCTGTGTGCACCGCATGCATGCTAACCTCCGCCTCTCGTCTTCCATTCCTGAGGAGACGAGGAAAGAGTTGCTGGAGGGCCAATTAGACTGTTCAGTCCCCTTTTCCAATCAGTATTGGAGCACACGCAGCCCTCTTTAGACATGCTGGAACAGGTCCGAAAGCATGTGGTTCAGCCAGTTGGGCACCTGTACCTTCCATCCTCCTGGAAGCTGGTGTTTACATATGTAGGTAAATGTAGATGTTTAACAACCCGTTAACATACACCAGAATGATGGAAAAGGCATCTACTTTATGCAAACATTTCTGGGGGAGGACCCTCAGACACCCCCACCAGTGTATCCCCCCACATTACAAATGATTTTGACGCCAGTGCTGGTAAGACAGTGATCAGTGTTTAAACAGTCTATGTTCACCAACATTTTCACTGCACAGAACATCTGTGTGTTGATGTTGGGAAATGGCTCCAACCTCCTACTCTGAGCCGTTAACCTCCAACTCTAAGGTCGTTTTCACACCAGATAGTCCGGTAGACTCGGTTCGGGACCAATATTCATGAGCTTTTGTTTACATTTGAGCTGGTGAGTTTGCATTCACACTGCTCTGTGCAGTTGAGTCAACCTGTTGAACCAACCTGTTCCCCCGCTCACCTGTGGGGGCGCTGCACCAAAAACTACTGAAAGAAACAACACAAAAACCTCTGAAGACACGTCTTCTTCTTCTTCTGTAAATAAAAATAAAAACGAAGTGGCATCAAGTTTTAGCAGTTTTAGGAGTTATATTTTGTCATTTTTCAAAAATGGACTTAGCATGAGCAGAAGATGAGACAGAAGACCATGGAGAATATTGTTTTTCCACACAAGGCAGCTGACGGCTCCATATAAGGTCAGAGAAATGTGTGTTTGTTTACCCTGCGGAGCGGGGCTCGGTCTGTTTACATTTACACTGTACTCGAACCGTGCTGGAGTTCTCTTCTACCAGACCTAGACCTAGGTTTTAGCCCGGGCCAGAGTTTGCCTTTTTGTTCCGTGACAGAGTTCAATGGTGCGTTCACATCTCCCTAAATGAACCTGACTTTCTAGAAAAATGAGCTAGAGTTCAATTAAAGCGGACTAAACAGGGCTGATGTGAATGCACCCTAAAAGTTATTGAGAAGACTGCAACTAATCTGTTAGCGCTCAGAGCAATAGGATGAATCTCAGCTACTGACATGATAAAATTCAGATTGATGATTGAAATATTGAGTGAGTTAAAGCCATTTTTGTGAAAGTCAGGATGGGTTTTCTGTGGCGGCCATCTTGAATTGAGTTAATTCCAAAAGTTACTTGTGCAGTGGTGCTTGAAAGTTTGTGAAGTCTTTATAATTTTCTGTATTTCTTCATAAATATGACATGAGATGTGGAAAGACCTGAAGCGAGCATTTAATGTGAGGAAACCACCATCATCCCAGAGTTGAAGCTGTTCTGTACAGAAGAATGGACTAAAATTCCTCCTGGTGTGCAGGACTGATAACAGTTACTGGAAACATTTAGTTTCAGTTATTGTTGCATGGGGGGTCACACCAGACACCAAAAGCAAAGGTTCACATACTTTTACTACTCACAAATATGTATTGGATCATTTACCTCAATAAATAAATGACCAAGTATAATATTTTGTCTCATTTGTTGAACTGGGTTCTCTCTTTATCTACTTTTAGGACTGTGTGAAAATCTGATGATGTTTTAGGTCAAATTTATGAAGAAATTTAGAACATTATAAAGTGTTCGCCAACTTTTAAGCACCACTCTAGATGATTATTTAATGATTTACAGTTTCAATTAAATATATCCAGTGATTGACAAGATATTTTTGTAACAAACAGACAAGCACACACAGAGACGTGTTCAGGTTGTGACCAAAACCATCCTAAAAGTTTTTGCTCTTCACAAGCACAATTTGTGTTGTACAGTCCTGGCTGTAAGGGTCCAAACACGGAAAAATGGCACAAGTTGTTCAAACTTCCTCCTGAGAGTCAAACAGAGCAAGGAGCTGGATGTAAACACTGTCAGCCCAAACATGCACACTCCTCCTGTTACTGTGC